CCCCAGTCAGATAGCACAGCAAACCAAATGGACCAAGAGAAAGGACAATGTAGCAAAACATGACTGGCAGATTCAACAGCAGAATTACAAAGAGTGCAGGAGGTTGATACGTTGGAACCAAGGATGCCCCGGTTGTGAAGAAAATCTGCAGTTTTAACTCTATTTCTCCAGGAAAGCCAACCAAAGAAATGGACTTTAGGGGGTAATAAGTTGCACCAAATGAATTTGGTAATGGGAATATCAGGCCCCAAGAGAGAGGTGCTATGGGAATAAAGAGAAGCTGCAGAGAAGGGACCAGAAGTAGAAGAGGACCAGACCAAACTATCCATACATCCAGTGCTTGGTGAAGGAGCAGAGGCCAACACACTAAGCAGTCTAGATTCATCCGGCAATTCCCAAGCATACAAGGCTCTTCTGAAGTTGAAGTTCCAATCAGTGTCGCTTGTTTTCCTTGCAAGATATTGGTGAAGAGAGCCTTCCTTGTCAACAGAAAGGTTAAAGAGGGAGGGAAACTCATTCTTGAGGCAAGTGGCTCCACACCACCTATCATACCAAAATCTGGTTCTATAGCCATCACCCACCTTGATTTGGCAGCTTTGTATAAAAAAGTTAAAGATAATGGCATTGTGGTTCCCGATGAAGAGAATGTCCCTCCACATCCTAGAGAGTTTGTACGAAGAAACCACAGGAGGAAGCCAACAATTAACCTCTATCTTATATTTGCTACAAATAATTTTCCTCCACAATGCATTTGTTTGAGTGCCAAATTTCCACCACCATTTGAGAATCAAACAAGCATTAACATCCCTGAGTCTCCTAATGCCGAGGCCCCCTTGGGGGACGCTTTTTGTTACATCTAGCCATTTCACCAAATGAATTTTCCTTTTAAGCCCATTACCACCCCACAAAAAAGCCGCTTCTAACTTCTCCACTTCGCGGGCTACACCGTCAGGCATCTTAAAGAGAGAGAGGTAGTACACGGGTAGGGAGGATAGGACAGATTTGATGAGGGTTAGTCTACCAGCAAAGGACAGCATTTTCCTCTTCCAACCTGAAAGTCTAACTCTGATAGTGTCTAGCACTGGTTTCCAAGTAGATTTATTCCCTGGGTTGGAACCTAATGGTAGCCCCAGAAATTTTAGAGGCAATCTATGCACCTTGCAATTCAAGCACCTTGCAAAATTCTGCAGTGAATCTTCAACAACACCCACTCCACACAACACACTTTTGAGGTAATTAATTCTGAGTCTGGATAGAACTTCAAAGCATCGAAGCACTCTTTTGATGACAACCACTTGATCCATATCTGCTGTACAGAAGATAATAGAGTCATCAGCAAACTGGAGATGTGATACAAGGACCTCATTAACCCCGACCAAGACACCTTTAAGGAGACCCATATTAATAGCTCTAGTGAGGAGGATATTGAGCCCTTCAGCTACTATGTTGAAGAGGAAGGGTGATAATGGGTCACCTTGCCTAAGGCCTCTTTGCGGAGAGAACTCATTTGTTGGAGATCCATTCACAAGGACGAAAATACGGGCTGAAGACACACAGGTTTTTATCCAAGAGATCCACTTAGAACCAAAGCCAAAGCTAGCCATCATAGAAAACAAGAATTCCCAGTTGACAGAATCAAAGGCTTTCTCAAAGTCCAGTTTAACGTACCTTATTATAAATTGAAAGTTAATAATTAAAAAATAAAAATTTAAATGATGTTTTAAAGTTTTCAAATAATTAAAAATTATCAACTTATTTAAAGTATTTCTGCCCAATTAGTTATAAGTAAAAATTGCATCAAACAGTCTGTCACAAACTCTCAAATTAAAATAAGATATAAGAAATTCATTTAAGCTAGCTCCTTGAACTTGTTGCTCTATGATGTATATATGTACATATATTAGTGATTGGAGCAAGCATCACGAATTTATAATTTTTTATTTAAATTTTTAAACAGCTTGATAAATGAGAAAGATGGGTTGAATTTAAAAATTGTTTGTAATGAAGTTTCAAACAGCTTATATACCAAATGGGTTGTCCACTTTATTTAATAGAATAGATATATCACTAATGATATAAAATCAAATCTTTTATACAAAATTTTTATAAGCTCATTATTTTGATTCATAATTTTAAAATCCAGCCACATCGTTTTGAATGATATATATATATTTTTTCTATAAAGAAAATTGTGTTTATAATCATTATCTTTTATATAAAGCCAACCATACTAGATAAACTTAGGAACATTTATCAGGATTATATGACGTCTAGAATGAAAAGAAATGAAAAGAAATTTTTATTATATGGATATTGGGGCACTTAAGCTCCTCCCCAATGGGATTAGGACAGACAATGGAATGGGCCCGGCCCATTGTATTATTAATCCGACATGGCGAGACCTCATTGGTGGGTGAACCATTCTGGATTGGTTTTTGGCAGAGGAGGAGCACAGTTCTTGCGAAATGAGTTGTTCACACTTTTAAAATGTGTGAATAATATGCAGATTATGATTGGTTTAAAAATAATAAGTTTTATATTTAAAAAAGTGTGTTGATTAATCTAAAATAGCGAGTTTTACAATTTTGAATAAATAAAAATTTGTATTTTCTTCATATATTTTCAAAGTGTATAAACAAAATCAGATGGTAAAATATTGGGGCATAGAGAGAGGAATCTAACCTTTCCAAAAAAAGAAATATATGAGTTGTAAACCTTAAACCAATTGGATTGGTGGGTGACACATGGGGACCCCATGGATTTTGGGCCTCTACTCAATAGTGGTACTAATTGAGCTTGCTAAGCCTTCTTTAAAGCTAGTTAGAAATTATCCAAAATAGGAAACATTTGAGGCATTGTGGAGGGAAAAGCGTTTTTCAAAAGCATTTTTGGATTTTGATGAGAAAGTTTGGATGGTCTATCTGTTAGGCGAGTCAGACAAATGTCTAATACCCTGCATTGAAAAAAGTTCTCTAAATTTTTAGGACCCATAGACATCATTTGGGATATGAATTGACTTTTTGATTTTTTAACTTTTTGACTATTTTAGTCTGAGACTAAAAAGTCTTGTTTGAGAGCTTTTTGATTATTTTAACCTTTGTGAGAAAAAATGAAATAATTATGTTTTGGAGATGACATTTTCTCTTATTGACTTTTTAGCCTACTTTTGTCTTTTTGCAGCTAAAATAGCCAAAAAAGCACATGTCAAACATAGCCTTAATGCTATCAATATAATTAGAGTCGTGTTATTTTCTATTGCTTAGAAAATACAATAGAAAATGATGCATCTGTAGTCGGACTCTAGTGATATATATATGTACATATGTATGTATATTATTCTGTTAAGCAAAGAAACTTAATGATGAGCTAAACTAATATATATATATATATATATATTAGTTTAGCTCATCATTAAGTTTCTTTGCTTAATAGAATAATATACATACATATGTACATATATATATCACTAGAGTCCGACTACAGATGCATCATTTTCTATTGTATTTTCTAAGCAATAGAAAATAACACGAATGATGCGCTAAACTAATATATATAGGATAAGGGGTCACTGCTGTGCTTCACTGTGGTGCCTCCATTTGGGGTGTATTATGGCCTTATTTTTGTGATCCAAACCGTCCATTTTGTAGGGTTTGTTGAGTACTTCATGCGTACCAAAAATCATATTAATCGGATATCAACAACTATATGATCGATAACCAAAAAAATAAATAATAAGTTTTATTTTGAGAAATAACATAAATAATATGCAATTCGATCATATGGTTGTTGATATCCGATTAATATGATTTTTGGTAGGCATGAAGTACTCAACAAACCCTACAAAATGGACGGTTTGGATCATAAAAATAAAGCCATAATACATCTCAAATGGATGCACCACAGTCACTGCTGTGCTTCACGCACAACAGTGACCCCTTATCCTGGTGTATGAAGAGTATTTTTATATATATATATTGGGCGAGTTAGACAAATGTCTAAGACTTTCTGTTAAAAAATGCTCTCTAAGTTTTTAGGATCCTTAATAATATCAATATAATTAGAGTCATGTTATTTTCTATTACTTGGAAAATACAATAAAAAATTAGATGTGTCTATAATTGGACTCTAGTGATATATATATATATATACATATACATATATATTATTATATTAAGGAAAGAAACTTAATGATGGGCTAAACTAATATATATATATATTATCTCTAATGGCCCAAAAATAAAATTGATGAGGCCTCACATGTTCAAATCATAATTTTTTTAAATAAAAAAAATAAAATTGAAGACTCATGTTTTTTTCTTCTATAGGATCAAATAGAGAAAAAAAAAATGCTAGAATGATCAAGATAAAATAATATTTTTATGATTTGATCCTCCAAAATAGTCACATGTGCTAGAAGTCTAGCATCGTCCAATAAAATCAACATTTCTTCTCTCTAAAATTGATTATAAAAGCGTAATTAGTAATAGTAAGTGAAATAAAACTTAATATTGAAAAGAAGAAAAAGTAAATTTAGATAAATTTTTTACTACTTAAAAAATTGAGAAATTTTAGTTTAATAAGTCTCTATTTGAGATTTGCCGTGAGACTCCAGAAAGAGCAATGCTATGTATCATGAAAAAACTTTCATGAAAATGATCATGAAAAATTTATAACCCTTGAATTACACTTAAAATAAAACATTACACACTAATTAAGGTAATCCAAGGGTCATAAATTTTTCATGATCAATTTCATGAAAATTTTTTCATGATCCCTATCTTTTCTCCTCCAGAAATAATTGGGCGGCTTTTGGAAAGTTACAACTGTAAACACTAACAAAAAGGTGTTTTTACCAACCCACTGTTACATTGCTTCTTTAAAAAAAAAAAAAAAAAAAAAAAAAAAAAAAAAAAAAAAAAAAAAGAAGAAGAACATAGACGTAGTTCAATGTCCCACTCCACTCTATATAAATGAGTCTCACAACTCTTGGTTTTGTATCCCATCTAAAAAACTCTTGGTTTTGTGTGCTTTTGTGAGAAGGAGAAGCTAATTCTTTATTTGAGAACACAATAGTGTGACATTTGAGAAGTGAGAGTGAAGATTTTTAGTGAGCAAGAGAGATGGGTGGGTTCTCTAGTCACAATTTGGCTTTCGCATTTGGCCTTTTAGGTATATTTTTTTGTTTCTTCTTCTTCTTCTTAGTTTTCTTCGAAAATGTTTTCGTCTTTTTGTTTTAGAGCGTTGTATGATAGTGAAATTTCTCACTTAAAAGTGGCATATATAATATGGAGAGGACATGAGCACTAACAGTATACTATTTCCTTGCTCAAACTATTTAAATAGTGTAAGTGGTAATAAAAATAATAAAGCATGGTTGATATTTTAAAACATATCTGATGATTTGTGTTCTTTTGTTTTGCTCTTGATGATTATACAATAGGCAACATCATCTCATTCTTTGTCTTCCTCTCACCCCTGTAAGTTCTTCGTTTTTCTTTTGCATGCTATTTCAGTTTCTTTGAAGACTATTTTTTAGTTTTTTTATTTTTTGAGCTTGATGAATCAACGCTTTTTGACGTTGTTTTCAGGCCAACATTTTACCAAATATTCAAGAAAAAATCAACTGAAGGGTTCCAATCGGTTCCTTATATAGTTGCCTTGTTCAGTGCTATGTTGCTGATGTATTACGCGTTTCTCAAGAAGATTGACTCTACACTTATCATCACTATAAACTCATTTGGGTGCTTGGTCGAAACTATTTATATTTGTGTTTATCTCTTTTACGCTCCCAAGAAGATTAAGGTATTGTAAAAATAAATTCTCTAATTTATACACAATTTGTGTAACTAATTAATCAAATAATGTTTCTAACTTCTCAAATTTGGCCTTCAAAAACACAGTTCAAAACCATGAAACTACTTGGATTCATGCTTGGCGGGTTTGGCGCAATCCTTATCTTAACTCAATTTCTTATCAAAAAAAGCTCAACCCGCTTTCACATTGTTGGTTGGATTTGCCTATTGTTCTCTGTGAGCGTTTTCGCCGCTCCTCTCTGCATATTGGTAAACATATATATGTATTAATTCATTATGGTTTCATTTTATTTATATATTGTATGTTAATGTTTTCATTACTATTTTTTTGTTCTTGTTCTTCAGAAACAAGTGATACGAACAAAGAGCGTAGAGTTCATGCCATTTTCCTTATCACTTTCGCTCACGCTTAACGCGGTCATGTGGTTCTTCTATGGCCTTCTAATAAAAGACTTCAACATTGCTGTAAGTTTGTTTACAAACTTAAAGCTCTTCTTATTTTTTACATTCCCATGAAGCTATACTAATAAGAATTCTGTCTTCTTCCCTTTTTATTTGTTTTTATAATAGATTCCGAATGTCTTGGGGTTTATTTTTGGAATTATTCAAATGGTGCTTTACGCGATTTACAAGAACCCAAAGAAAGTTGTTGCGAAAGATCAAAAGTTTTCTTCTGATCAAATACCAAACAAAGTGATAGCCTTGGAGGAAGAGAAGCTATCTGAATTAGTTGAACAAGTGATCGATGTTGTGAAAGATCAAAAGTTTTCTTCTGATCAAATACCAAACAAAGTCATAGCCTTGGAGGAAGAGAAGCTATCTGAATTAGTCGAACAAGTGATTGATGTTGTGAAGCTTAGCTCAATCGCATGTCAAGAAATCATTCCAGTCATGCCTCATCTGAATGGACACAACATAGCTAAAGAGCTCAATACAATTAAACCCAACCTTGAAGTCACCGTGCCGGTCTAATTGAACTAATCATCTCTAGTTTGGTTTGGTGGATTGTGTGTCAAGCAATTATGTAACTAGTTCTACTCTTATGTCATTTGACTTCAAATCTTATTCCAACTCTCTCTCTCTCTCTTTCAATCTAGTGTTTTTTTTCTGTAATTTGGCTGGTCAATTTCTCCAGTAGTATTTATGGTAATGAATGCTAAATTCCAAGTGTTAAATATATTTATTCTTTTTTTTTTTTTTTTTGTTTCTTTTGGATGATGAATGAAGTTTTTATTTATTTATTTATTACAAATATTCTTTTTTTTCCCATAGTGGTTGGAATACATATATGCACTAACATGAGATGGAAATGAAAATGTTTTTTTTCTGCTTGTTATCATACTCAAGTGAAAAGGAATAATCATTTAGTGGGATGACTTCAACATGATATCCAAGTAAAAAAAATAAAAAATGTAAAAGACAAATAGGGAAGGTTGACTTGTATGGGCAATATGCACATCCCACATGTTGTGGAAATACCCATCTCCTTGAGATCCCTTCCTATACCCTCGTTTATAATGTTAAATGCCATTCTTTCATGGTAATTTTTTTTTTAAAAAAAGAAAAAAAAGAAAAAGTAATGGTATCAATTTACAACTTGGTGGTATACATATAAATTCGTCACTACTTATACCCTAGTTTGAAAAATTTGTCACTAAAATAGAAACTCATTTATAATCTCTAACATAAATGAGAGATAAAAATTTTACATTTTTGTTAAATGTGATTTAATTTCAAGTACATTTTTATATAACTTACAACATTTTATTTGAGAATATTATATAATATGTCATATATGTATAGCTATATGTGTGTGTGTCTCCACAACGAGTTCTCGTATCCCTATCCTATTTCGGATATATATCCCAATATGTTAAAATTAAAGTTTATGAAGGTTTGATACTTGGACATGCATCCATATCCGAGTCCATATAACATAGGGTGTGACTGGGGTTGTATCTTGGAATGCTCTTGGAGACCATCTTTTGGTGTCCTTTGCGGAGTAGTTTCATGGGAGGCTCAGTTTTGAGGCCAATCAGAGTATGGTGGTGTATTCATGTTGTGGCTGGTGTATTGCTTCATTGTAAATCTGAGGGCAGTTTCACCTTCTTTCGGCCAATTGAAGGTCTCCTCCGACATCTTATTGTTGCTGGTTGAGATTAATGTGCTCCGGCTGAGGCTTTTCTTTGTTGATCCTTCTATTGAGGTCTTGCTGTTACAGGTTTTGTTACTGGTTTTTGGAGTTTTTACAGACTAGTTGAGGACTTCTTGCTGATGCTCTTTACGGTTTTTTGGTGATTGGTTTTGTTGTCATTAGTTTGGTTTGGTGCTGGTAAATAGTTCGGATTTGATTTTTTTTAAAAATGATCATAGAATAAATTTTTAAATGACTGAAATTTAATTCTATAAAAAGTTGAGGTACAATAGTCATTTCACTTTCTGACTATCAAACCCTAACCTTATCAAAAAAAATTACTCTAAAATCATTCTAGAGGATCCAAACTGGTTGGTAAATTGCCAAGGTTGTTTTGTTGGCTTGGTACATGTGTCAACCTAGTTGATTTTCCCATAATCAAATTTCACTCTCTTTCTAGTGAAGAAAGAAACGAATTTATTGTATGATTAGTTTTTTTTTTTTTTTTTTCATGGATGCATTATCAGCTATATGGTTTTTAATACATCAATTGATGTTTAATTTATTTTTGTATAAAAGCTTGAGGTTACTAAAATTTTATTCTTAAAGTAACTTTTGATGATTGAAATTGCTATGTATTAATTGTTGATTTACCCAAACACTTGGTTTGGGAATAAACTACTTTAGTATTTTTTTAAAATTTTTTGGTTAAAATATGAGGTGAATAAAATTAGTATGTTTGAGGTAATTTTTTGACTTTTTATAAAAAAGATGTACAAAAAAATAGAAAGAAAATGAAAATTTTGACTTTTTTATGTGATTCTATGGCTTTTAAATTTTTTTAATGACTTTTTTCACTTTTTGTATCTTTTGGAATGTTCTGAACCATGCTATTATGGATGAATTAAGGGGTCTCTAGCAAGATTCATAGCAATTAGACCAATTCTTCATTGAATTTCATACTATGTATGTTTTTTCAAAAATTACATTACATCAACCAACAAAAGCTAACTTTTTGGATTGAAAAAACAAATCATCAAAAACACTTGGGCTTAAAATAGTTTGACACAATCCTAGTTTTATTTTTTTTATTTTTTTAAAAAGATCTTGTTTGGTAAATTTTCTATTTTTCTTTTAAAAAAAAAAATTGAATACAAAATGACTAATATGCCCCTTGTAAGAATGACATGTGTAAGCACACTTTTTATTATTCAAATTAAAGGTTTGTGGAGGGCAAAATGGTAAACATGAATTACATCTGAAAAGCCAAAGCTATGCTTTTAGGCCTTCTGTGGTTCATACTTGATTTTATTTTTTATTTTTTGTTTGAGTTAATAAAGTCAAAAAAATAAAATAAAATAAAAATAACATCAACAACAAAATCAAAAACAACAATACTTAAAGTTGCTTGCAAATGAGGCACAACATTATGGCTCCACAACGGAACAAATCCACACACACATATATTTTCCTATTCAATAAAAAAAAAATTAAAAAAAGAAAAAAAAAAAAAACATTCATATGGCCATGAACCATACACATTTTGAGTAATCGAGTTGGACTCTAGTGGATTCAAGCTCAACTCGAATGGGTTGGCGAACAAAATGATATATAAATTAATTTTTGTTTTTATTTAGTATTTGTACATTCTTGCATATTTGATTGATGGAATTTATTAATTATATGAGTGTGCTTTTATATTTTGCTCATAATCTCTCTTTTTTTCCCCTTCTTTTTTCTAGGGTCAAGTTGGAGTTGGAGTTCGGTTCATTTATGTAATTTGATTGAGCTCGAATTTTTAAAATACTGAATGAGTTAAGGTTGACTTAAGGTCAGCTCAAACTCAAGCTTGACTAATTTTTAGTGAACTAAGATCAAATATTTCAAAACTCAACTTGACTCAGTTAATTTCATATGCATTTCTATCCACACTTCTGTGAATATTTTAAATATTTTTATGTAATTTAACTCTATATAGCCAAAAAGTGATAAACAAATGAGCAAACACTTCGTCACATAATTCAAGTTCACTCCAATCATAGGGCCAAAAAAAAAAAGTATTTTGACTCTCCCAAAATTAATTTGTTTTCTAATTTGTAATATAGAGACAATTAACCAGCCCAATTAATTTTTTTTAAAATTGGTGCTTCAAGAAACATGAAAGGGTGTCGTGTTTCCGAGTCCAAACCAAGTTGGGAAACATTAGACCAACATGGTCTAGTTCTCTCTCTCTCTCTCTCTCTCTCACTCACACACACACACACACACACATATGTATGGTCCCAAGAAACTCCAAATCCTCTGCATCTTATGTGGCCCACAGTTGTAAAGAGACGTTTTTGAACCTTTTTTTTTGTCTACACATTCGCACCAAATTTTATACTCCCTCCGTCCCAAAATAATGATCCCTTTTGGGGAATCTAACTTTTTTTAGTAGTACAATTATTCCTTTTGAAAAAAGTTGATTTTCCAAAATTATCCTTTTGATAGTACATTTTTTGGGAATATCAATGCATAATTGTACTTTTATGTTGTTTATTAATTTAAAAGAAGGGTAAAATAGAAAATTTATATTATTTTTGTACTTGATTTTTGAAAAGAGACTAAAATTTTTGGACAATGAAAAATGGAATAAGGGACTAATATTTTGGGACGGAGGGAGTAGTAAAAATTACCTAATATGTCTTAATAGTTAAATTGAAAGTCTTAATAGTTAAATTTAACTTTCTTCAAGTTCTATAAAAAATAAATTTTAATAAAATTATTAGTAAAATGTGATTTTTTTTATCAAGATTTTTATAAATTATCGCTAAAACTTATAATTAGTGTTTTTTTAATAACGAAATTTTTAAACAATCGTTAAAAATTAAAAATTAGTGATTTTTTTTGAAAATTTTTTTAAACTGTCGTTAAAACTTATAATTAGTAACAGTTTTTGTGATAAAATTTTTAAACTATTATTAAAAATTAACAATTAATTACGTTTTTTAATAATATTTGATGAAAAATATCATTAATTCTCACAAGACTTATTAGACAATAAATTCACCTATTAAGGCTTACATATAAGCCCCAAATTTATGTAGTTAAAGGCATTTCATTTGGCTCTTTATTTTAAAATAATAGTTTCAATGAGAAGTGATTGAGACCCCCTCAATCACCAACTCCCACCACCCCCACACATACACGGGGGTTGGTGATTGAAAAAAAAAAAAAAAAAAAATCTAGCCAATCACAGGCCAAGGGAGTTGTGGGGGTCACATTATGGAAGGGTCCGAATCCTTTTTGTAGTTTCAATATCAAAATAAGTGTATTTTTTGTCTTTTTACGAAAAGATGTGCAGAAAAGTAGAGAAGTGGTGTGATGAAAAAAAGATAAAAAGATAAAAAGATGGATTATTTTGGTGTTGTCAAACTTGGCCCAAGTCATTACGCATAAATTTATTTATTTATTTATTTATTTATTTTTTGGTATATCGCAAATCACGAGGTATTTGTTAAGTAAATGCGGAAGCTCCCCCTCAGACATTTTTTTTTTTTTTTTTTAATTTTTTTTTCTTGTTTTCGGGTACACGCATGCAGCGGTAGTTCATTGATCAAGATGCTTGTCTTGTAGCAGAAATGTTACCAACACTATATTAAACGTATCAACAAACAAATTAACTAAATATAAAATTAGAGTAATTTCAATACTATTAGTTATTTTTTGCTAACTAAAGTATTGTTGGCTTTCGATGGTTAATAGTGTAAATAGTATAAATTTAAGCGTGTCAGCAAAGATTAATAAGTCCTTACAGAATTTATAATTGCCAACCAATTATCAGACAATTGTGTTGAAATTCTTTCAGCTTCAATGAATAAGACTTTTACTGGTGGATAGTGTTAGGAGAAATTTATAAGAAATAACAAATACAAAACAATTTAGAAACTGAATTTCATTAAGTAAATATGAACTTACAATGAAATGACCCAACCTTGAAAAAGTTTACAGCAACGACTACTTGAAACTACTCCTAAGAAATGAAGTACAGTACAGGAATTAAAGTACTGGAAATATAAAGAAC